TCAGATTGCCTAGCTGAACACAGAATTCTAAATGCAAGACAAAGCATTATGATAAGAATAAATTATCTAGGCACTGACATTGATGCAGTGAACACATAGATAGGCAAGGCATTTAATTTTCGGGTGTGCAAACTGAATTGTGTGTTGTTTTTAATTAGCAACTTTCCATTTTTGTAGTGTGCAAGTGGCAGGTCATAGCTTAGTAACAGTCTTTCATCAGTTTTTCATCCTACGTGAAATAAGAAATAAATAATTAAATAAAAGTAAATAAATAAGTTCAACACAGGGTTACTGTTTCCTACCATGATATACAACTTTAGCCTTCCAATAATTTTTGTAAAAACCTTAAAAATGTATAACCTTCTGAATAATTAAGGACTGCCAGGGAGCATTAAGTGATTACACATTGAAACAAAGTGTGCTGTGCCAATGCAGAATTATATGAATCAAATTGGGCCAGCAAAACTCATAATGAGAAATGAAAACAGGTGTTCATGTCATGGGATTACACATCAAACGTGAAAAATTAAGCACTGTGTAAAAGGAAACAAGCCATAAAACTGAAAAAATCAGGTATGGCTTTCATTATTAAGAAAAATATATTGCTTTTTCTCTCCCCACCAACATGCCTCAACCCCCTTTTTCACTGGAGATTCTTTTCACTGAATACAAGAAAACTAATACTATTGAAAAGAAAAGTAATGAATGCTGGGGTACAGTATTTCCTCTCTCCAACTACATATACAGTGGTGCCTCGCTTAACGAGCACTTCGTTTAACGACGAATTCGCTTAGCGATGACTTCTTCGGATTATATGAATCAAATTGGGCCAGCAAAACTCATAATGAGAAATGAAAACAGGTGTTCATGTCATGGGATTACACATCAAACGTGAAAAATTAAGCACTGTGTAAAAGGAAACAAGCCATAAAACTGAAAAATCAGGTATGGCTTTCATTATTAAGAAAAATATATTGCTTTTTCTCTCCCCACCAACATGCCTCAACCCCCTTTTTCACTGGAGATTCTTTTCGCTGAATACTAGAAAACTAATACTATTGGAAAGAAAAGTAATGACTGGTGGAGCACAGTATTTCCTCTATCCAACTACATATACAGTGGTGCCTCGCTTAACGAGCACTTCGTTTAACGACGAATTCGCTTAGCGATGACTTCTTCTGAGCGATCTTGTGCTCCGTTTAACGATGTTCCCGATGGGCGATTTTCACATAGCGATGTTTGGGACCATACTTCGCATAGCGATGACAGTTTGGGTCCCCCTGTTTCGCTTAACGATGGTTTTGACAGCCTCATGTTGGCTGTTTTTTAAATGTTTAAAAATGTTTAGAATGCTTGAAATCATAAGTGCACTTAATAAACCCTTTGTTGAACTAATTTGACTTTGTTCCAACTTTTTTTTAATTTGTTGTTGAATTTTTCCCCATTGAGATGCATTGAATAGGTTTCAATGCATTTCAATTGGGGAACCGCGTTTCGCTTAGCGATGTTTCCTATGGCGATTTTCGCTTAACGACGGCAATTCGTTCCTATTGGAACAGATTATCCGGTTTTCAATGCATTTCAATGGGAAACCGTGTTTCGCTTAGCGATGTTTTCCCAAAGCGACAATTTTTTTGGAACCAATTAAAATCGTTAAGCAAGGCACCACTGTAATTTACATTAATCTGAAATGTAATACTGTGTGTACTGAAAAAGCAGACTCTGCAAAACTAGCCATTCCTTATTATTTCCAGTCTAGCTTTTTGTTTTATTAGTATTATATCTAATTAATTGATTATTGCATTTAAACCATTTTTATCCAGCCATTCTCTTCAAAAGGACCCAAGGCGGCTTACATCATTAAAAGACAATATGTTAAATATAAAAATGTTAAGTATAAAAATATTTTAAAAGAATCAAACAACACCACACGAAAAACGGTAAACAAAATCAACAGAAAAAAATTTCAAAAGAAACAAGGGCACAACAATTCATTTTAAAAGCTGTCTCAGACAATCAGTCACTAAGGGAAAGCCTGACTGAAGAGAAAGGTCTTCAGCCACTTGCGGAAGGCCTGCAAAGATGGGGACAGCCTGGCCTCCCATGGGAGGGAGTTCCAGAGCCTGGGTGCAGTGACAGAGAAGGCCCTCCCGCACGTCCCCACCAGACACATCTGTGAAGAGAAACGCCTCCCCTGATGATCAACACTTGAGCAGGCTCATAAAAGGAGACACAGTCCTTAAGACAGCATGGACCTAAGCTGGCAAGGCTTTACAGGTTAAAACCAGCACGTTGCATTGCGCCCAGTAACAAATCCACAGTCAGTGGAGCTGCTGTAACAGGAGGGTTATGTGATGATTGTAACCAGTCCCAGTTAACAATCTGGCTACAGTGCTTTGGATCCCCTGATGTTTTGGAACACTTTCCAAGTTAGTCCTGCATACAGTGCATTATAGTAATGCAAGCAGGATATATATTTAAGGCATGTGTCACTAAGGCCAGATCAGGCCTCTCCAGGAATCGATTCAGCTGGTGCATTGGTTTACAGCAGCAGAAGTAAGGTTACCAGGTAGCTCCATCCTGGATTCCTACCTCTCTGTCCATGTTGTCTCATTAATCTATTCAAATGTTTGGAAGCTGCCTAGAGTGGTCTTATAGGCCGGATGGACGGGGTATAAATCAAATCAAATCAATCAATCAATAAGTAAGTAAGTAAGTAAGTAAGTAAGTAAGTAAATAAGTAAATAAATGAATGAATGAATGAATGAATGAATGAATGAATGAATGAATGAATGAATGAATGAATGAATGAATGAATAAAATCAAGGTCAGAAACTCAGAAAGCTAGCTATTTTTGCTGTCACATCATTCACATAATGGTCCTATGGCATTACAGGGTGAATAGCCTTTGACATAACAAGGTACAAGGAACCTCCACTATAAACTCATAAATAGTTGATTCTGTGGTTAAAAACTAAGGACAATGATACTTTATATCCCAGTTTAAGAAATCCCAGGAATTTCAAAATTATGCCTAAAATGTTAGAGAAATGAATCATATTTTAATATTTTACTTAATTTCCCCCAAATTAATTTTGTTTTTAAAATTAATTACATTTTAAAACTCTGAATAAAAAAAGAAAGCAATTCGTTCTCCCTCAGTTCCTACGTCAAGTGTGAAAACCAATTTGTTATATTTGCGTTTCACAGTTATTGTAGTAGTAGAATTTATACTCAACAGTATTACAATTTTCAGTTGCCAATGGAATGTTTATGGCTGTTTATAGAAATGGACGTGAACCACAGTTCAGCAGTTCATGCTGGTTGGGTGGACAGTCAAACAGGTGTTCTGTGGTTCAGCACCCCACCCCCTGTAGTGGGCAGCCTTAGAGGCATGATGCTGCTTCCAAGAGGGCATCCACCAGAGGGCCAGGGCACTGAAACTCGGAACATCTATTTAGCCATGCACCGAACTGGCATTAACAGCCGAACCAGCAGTTCGTGCCTATCTCTAGCTGTTTAACATCTAAGGGCAATGACAGATATAATAACAGCATGTCGTTAAAAATACAAATGTCCCTCTTGAAAAATAAAATGGGCTTCTTGTTTGGTCCTCTGCATAATACACAATACAATATCAAAGATGTAAAATGCTGAGACCCACTGCCACAGAGTTTGCTGATATAGGCAAAAAAAAAAGAAAGAAAGAAAGAATAACCAGCTTTCTGCAGCATCCTAAAACAGTTAACTTTTGCTCAACCAACCAACTAGCAAATGATTTATTTTGATTTGTCCATCAAGCTTTCATTATCTTGGTGAGTCACCATACTTCAGGGATCTCTGCTAAAGGTCACTTAACGCAGGAGATTATTATACACATGGACTGCTGAAGTATGAACCAGAGTATTGGTTTCGCTATGTCCGTAAACATCTTCAAAGTGACAAAAACCAACAAACCCCCAAAATAACTAGCCTAGAAAGGATAAGAAAACATGACAGAGCTCTGCTAAGACACTTTTATCTCAGTACAATGCAAAACCACAGATCAGAATGCAACTCTAAGTACAGTACAATTTGCAATAAATGCTTTGGCAAGTTTTGCATATTTCATGTACAGTCATGTGAAAAAGAAAGTATACGCTCTTTGAATTCTATGGTTTCATGTATCAGAACATAATCAAAATCATCTGGTCCTTAGCAGGTCTGAAAATTAGGTAAATACGAGCTCAAGTGAAAAAAACATGACACAGTGTAATGATTTAGGTAAACTGTCAGAAAAGACATCACAATCTTTTTATTCTAACAGTTATGCTAACAGCAAATGGCATGGACAAAACCTGCAACACTCACCCAGCAATGCTCTTGGCAATCTTTTTCCATTCTTCTTGTTTATGTTTAAACAAGTGTCAGAATAGAATATAAAGCAATGGAGAAGGGGACCCTGTTTGAAATATTTTCATATCTAAATGCATGCTTAGTATTCTAAGTAAATTAAAAGCTTTCAGACTGTGTTCCAAACCTCTCAGGAATTCACATGATCTACCCACTTTTATCCTCTTCTGGAACAACTATGATGAGTTCAAAAACATTTGCTTCATTTTTTCATTAACTATGGCTCCTTATGTCATCTGGACCCAAACAAATTGTGGCAAATCTTAACTATTTAAAACCATGGTTTATGAACCTGGCTTGCTTTCACAAATCATAGTTAGGATTAACCACAGCTTATGTGTCAAACAAGTTAAACTGAGATCAATCTAAAATGAAAACTTCTGACCTTTTCCTTGAGGCTATACCAAAAGGGATATAGTAAACTTCTGAAACCATGGGGCTTACTGTGACATTTGAATACAGATGTGGACACTATCGGATAGTAGAGATACATCATATTATATCACATATTGCTTCATCTTTTTCCTCGGTCTTGTTTTCTGAGAAGAAAAAATATAATAATTCTCCTACAATAAATTTCTAAATATCCATGTGTTGACTAATATTACCAATGTTAGGATGCTTCAAAAGGCGGCAGATTCTGGCTTCTCTTTCCAATTTCTGGTGATCTGCAAGAAACAAGAAGTAAGAATAATTTTAGCAGAGCTAATTACATTTGACTATCTTGCACTTAATAAGAAAAACAAAAGTGATAAAGTATGAAACATTATCCAAAAATAATGTGGGGGAAATCAAGACCACTGATGCTCACACGATCATTCAGCTATTACGTGAGAAGAGGGCTCTCTTCCTTAGTTATAACAAGGCCTGGGAATATGCTCCCTGTGGGCCACATGAGGCACTCAATCCTGATTTTGCAGCTCCTAGACCATGTCAAATGGGAATCAAGAATTTTGCTGTTCAAAACAAGGAAAACTGTCACTCTACGAAAGGGCACAGCCATGATTTAGTGAAATGGAACTATTTGCATGTGTGTACTGCTTTTTTCAAACTGGAAGTAAACTGGTGGTCACTTCTTCTGCAGATCTCCTCTGCATCACACATTTTGCATGGTGGTGCAATCTATTCTGAGTTCTGGGAAGAAGGTCAGAGTTGGCCCCTAGATGACACAGAGTTGCCTATTCCTGGCCTGAACCATTACCTGCAATATGGGTTAAGAGCACAGATATTTCTTGCCAGGCTGTCATGACGATTCAATAACATACACAGTGTGTTCCCTAAAAGCTTAATACTGCTGTCATTATTCAGCAGTGGAAGAATTAAAAAAACACAGGAAGGTTTTGACAAAGCAGATGAGACAACGAAAGTGTGACGGTTAAGCTAGACTCAATTATTTTTCCCCAAACATCACTGTTACTACCATAAACTTGATTTCAATGGCTCTCCATAGCTGTTGATTAAGAATCAGCATTCCATAAAGGTATGCAAATTCCGTCTAAATCACACAAAAAGTATCTTAAGAAATACCTGCAAAGAGGCAATAACTCAGTGGGACAACACAGACAGCAAAAACAGTAGATTTATATACTGGGCAGTTGTCAATTGATAAAATCAGATGAACAAACAAAACAAAGTCATAAAGATAAAATCAAATCATGAAAAGTTTCAAAACCTAGATAGTGCAATGTGTCGTAATGAATTGGTTTGCTTTGCTCAATCATCCTCTACAAAAGCAGAACGAGCTAAACAAATAATGACCTTCCTCTGCTGTTTGAATATTGTGGCATCCAAACGAGGAACAATGGCTTATATCTCTGTGGATAAACCATTGTTTCTTCCTGGTTTAGGTCTCCAATTTATCTAGGGAAAGATAACCCAGAGTGATTGCATCAGGTGTCACAATAAACAAACTATGGATGGTTTGTAGAATGAATGAAAAAATTACAGTATATGGATGGAAGGTCCATTTTCTTAGCCACTTCTTGGTGGAAACAATCAAGCAGTGTGTACAAGTACATTGCTTCATTTCTGAGAAGACTGAATACTAAAGTATTTTGGCATGCTGTGCTCTCTGATAAGGGCCACTATTTGCTATCAGCTGTAGTTATTAGAAACCATAATTACTTCCGAATCCTCTACTTCCATTCAAATCTGTTTGCAGTAGAACGTGTATACGGCCTCTCAATGTACCCAGACACTAATATCTAAGAGGAGTGTATGAATTAGAAAGTGAAAAGTCATCACCCTATAAAACATAATGATTTTTAAGGGTCAAGGTGAGTTAAAGGCTAGCATTAAAAGTTTCTGAATGTTATCTTTTAACAGACTAGAGTAGCTCTTTTAAAAAAAGTCAGACAGCATAAAATCTCTGAGGTACAGAAAAAAAAAATAACTTGAAGTTAGGCTGCAAGCCAATATTGGCTCCTGAAATTGAGCCAGCTTGGAACACAACCAAGCTGAGTACATTATAGCCAGCAAAACAAAGGCCTGAAAGAGAGCCACAATTACAAGTGATGGAGCAAATAATTTACAAGTGAATTATTTTCTGAACTTTAGCCTAATTTTCTGCTTGTCTGAGAAAAGCTCATGATTTCCTCTGAGTCACTTGGTATTAAGCAATCATTCAGTTTTCAGAGGCAACTGAGGGAGGCATTGTATCTTGCATGAAGGACTCAACGGTTGACAGTGGCATACAGGGCGACTGAGATTTCAGGTCAAATGCTCAGAAGTATAGAAACTCACTACCATGACCAGTTGGCATAACCAAGTGTTCAGTAAAATGTGAATGTTCCACAGTGCTATGATAACTTCTTAACTGAAACCATAGAACTCAAGGAAATTCTGTTATTTCTCTGAAATTTTCACTTCCTTTTACAGTAGAATAGTTAAACTGAATTTATACAGGCACATAATGGTGTGGCCGCAGGTTCTTTCCCCAAAGCAAGTGGTGTGCATGAGGTAAAGCATATCTTCTTTACATTTTGTCTGTTGTTTGTTATACTCCTCTGTGCTGTGTGCATGTATTGTTATACTACCTATCCAACTCATTGGCCACATATGAACAAGTGTTTCTGTGTGGAAGTCCTAGATTCGCTTCCATCTTCATATACATGTGTGTGTATGACCTACGTAAGAATATCTCAAAAATATATTTCCACCTCGTCCAATATGATATGGTACCATTCTCAAACAGATGCATTAGTCTATTTAAAACTCAGAATACTCCCCCCCACAAAAGTGGAAAATATGTTTGTCTAAATGTGGGCATTCCAACTTTCAAAAATTACATCATCTAGTATGACTACAAACCCCAACAGCAACGGGACGTCTAAAATCACAGAACCATATGGGAGAGGGTTTGTTTTGTAAAGCAAAAAGACTTTTGTTGTATCAGACCAAAGTCCTATTTAACCCCAAAATTTATTTCTCACAATGGCCTTTCAGAAGTCCCCACACAGGATGTGAGAAACACCCTTTTTTTGGTACCACACACTGTATGAGCTTCTGTTTTCAAGCTGTCTGGAGTGCCTAGCTGTGAAGCCAAGGAATGAGTGTTTTCACCCCTACTGTGCCTCCTGGCAGTGGGGGCACTTGAGATAATCTGGAATATAAGTAGCTGATGAGAATATGGGCTCTGCACCACCAGAAGGAGGCAACAGTAAATCATTTCTGAGTACTTTATATCTTTAAACCTTTAAAGGGTAGCCATAATCAGAATTAACTTGACAGTACACAATTATTTATAACATGACATTGAGCAAAAATATTCAGCAGTCCGTTTTAAACAAAAGATTAAGAAATGATGCAAAACTTAATCTATAGTACAATACATGTTTGTTGTTGTTCAGTCCTTAAGTCGTGTCCGACTCTTTGTGACGCCAGGCCCTCCTGTCTTCCACTGCTTCCCGGAGTTTGGTCAAATTCTTGTTGGTAGCTTCAATGACACTGTCCATCCATCTCGTCCTCTATTTTCCCCTTGTCCTCTTCCCTTCACATTTTCCCAACACCAGGGTCTTTTCCAGGGTGTCTTCTCCAGCAAAGATACTGGAGTGGCTTGCCAGTTCCAATTAAATGAAACTAAACAATACAGTACATGTTTAGTTTCATTTAATTCAGGGAGGCTTACTCCTGGAAGAAGGCTGGAGTCTAAAAGGAATTCAACATTCCATTTTATAACAGGTTATGAATAATCCACCCTTAAAAGTAAACCGAGATAGAGTTCTTGAAAAGTTGTGAGATGTCAGGAGTCTTAAAGCTGAGTTTCCAAAAACACAGAGTTCAATGGCTATGTGACGCAGCCACTGAGATTAGCTCTCTTTACACCCAGAGTAAACAAATCATTTATTTCATCTTAGAATCTGCAGCGGGGCATAGAACTATTTATTTATTTAAAATATTCTGGTCCATGGGGTCACGAAAAGTCGGACACGACTAAATGACTAAACAACAACAACAACAACAAATTCTCCTAAAGCATCCAAAGCAGTTTTTAGTATTAAAAGAAATAAGGTTAAAAGCTAAAGCAATAAATTATCACAATAGTAAAAAAGGAATTAAACAGATATATTAAAACTTAGAGCAATATTAAGAGCACAAATAAAACAGAGTACAGTAATCCCTTAAAAAAAATCTCCTGGATCAACCTTCACTTAAAACAGTGGTCCCCAACCTTTTCCAAATCGTGGACTGGTGGGGGGAACACATGCACTCAAGGGTGGGCGGGACGTGCACTCATACATGTGCAGATGTGCAGGGCACACTCATGCTGATGTGTGGATGAGCAGGATATGCTCACGTGCATGCGTGGATGGGTGGGGGGCCCTAACGGGTGGGTGGGGTGTGCTCACAGGAAGGTGCAGATGCACAGTGCACCCCTGTGTGTGTGCGTGGGGGAGTATATGGGGGGGCAGGATATCTGTCTCTGTGGCCCGGTCCTGCCAAGGCCACGGCCTGGTACCTGGGCTGCGGATTGGGGTCCCCCGGTTTAAAGAAAAGTCTGCCTGAAATGAAAGGTCTTCATCTGGGGCTATTCAGGCCTCCTGTGGGAGGCAGTTCCAGACTCTGGGAGCAGCAATACCAAAGGCCCTCTCCCGTGTCCCTACGAAACATGACTGTGAGGGTGATGGGACTGAGAGAAAGGCCTCTCTTGATGATCTTAATATCTAGGCAGGTTCATAAAGGGTAGATTATAAATATAAATAGAAACCAAAGAATTCATTCTTTAATTCATTGGTATTTTCAATTTATAGTTATATATTTGTATATTGCTCCTGATTCTTAACATGGTATTATAAATGAGCCTCTAAGTTTTGTTAACGTATAAAATAATGTGATGAAGGAGCCTGATTTCTCAAAGTTTCTGCAATACTAACTCAAAGGTTAGCTTACCGCACAACAAAACTTGCAATTTATCTTATTTTGACAGATACAGAACATTAACGCCAAGCTTACCATAGTATTCTTTCTCCAATAATGAAAAGAAAATTGAACCAGGTCAAGAGAGGCAGGATTCTTTATTGCATTACAGTACACAATAAAATATTTATTACAGCAGGAAGAAAAGGCTAGTTTTTCTTCGTGCTTTTCATTTCCAGGGATCTGTAATGATTTCTAATCAGTTTCATTCCATTAAAAATAAATGAATGAAAAATGTTTTGTACATTTATAC